TCTTCTAGTCTCGGCGCATTTGTTAGATACATTTGCGGAGTTCTGCTTCCCGAAAAAATCTTCGGTTTACTAAAGTACATCAGCAGATAACGCAAAGATAGCAAAGGTAGGCTTCCGAAGGTTGCAGGGGAGCAGGATGCTGGGGCAACGAGGAAGGCCAAGCTGGAAGGAGGCAGCGTGGAGAGGAAGCCGCAGGCGCGACGAGTGTCGCGTGTGTCTGGCTTGTGCAGGATTCAGGTATAGTAGGTGAGCGGAGAGCAAAACCAAGAAGATCAAATTTTCGGATGAAATTCACAGGAGAATCGGATGGGAGTCGCATGTCGGTCCATGATTACTCATGATCCCCACGATCCCAGTATCTCCCTGGCAGTCGAGACTCTCCGAGCCTCGGTCACTTAAATACGCGATAAAATATGCTCTCGCATTGGCCACAAGCTCTACTTAATCTTCGTTAATTATGGCCGCGCGGGTCGTCTAGTGCGCAAACGGACAATTAATGAGTAATTGATTTTGCGCACGCCATTCGCCGGGGAAAAGAGTGAGCTCAAGACGGGACGCGAGACACGAGAGGCGAGGATGCCGCCATTAGCGCACGCCTTGCAATTGCCAACTTGAAACGTAACTGTATTTTCGGTTGGGATCGAGAAGACGAACGCGATACTTAAATTCTCATTATCCAAACTCTTTTTTTCTTTTTTCTTTTTTTTTTTTTTTTTTCCTTAAGCGGCCTTTTGCCTTTGCCCCGTTGGCCAAAAACAGGAACCGACAGAACGACAGACTGGACCGGCAACTTCCGAATCTCCGTTCCGGTTAAAAGGACGGAAGCGCCATTTGCTCGCGCTGCGCCATCATCCTCGAATATTAAATTAAATCGGGCTTTATCGATTATAATCGAGCGATCGATCGATAACGAAATTGACTGTTGACGGGAGAGATGCGGCGGAAAACGCTGAGTTGTGATTACATTGTTGACCCTGAATGGAGCTGTCGATCGTCTATGGGATCTTAGAGTGCAGCGACTGAAATAGAACCTGGTCTCACTTGGGCTTCGCTCAGGCTCCCTTCAGGCTCCCTTCAGGCTCTCTCGCTCTCTGCTCTCATTGTCAGTCGAGGATCCGACACCCACACGGGTGTTTCGTATATTTATTTACTCTCGCACTCACTCGTACCGGCAGCGTCCCTCTTCGTCCCTCGGCGGAATTTGCAGGTCAGGACGACCAAGAAGTGAGTCCTTCTCAGCGCAGGACAACTTGGCGGAAGCAAGGGGCGAGAGGGG